TCGCAGTTCCAAAGAGTCATTCCTTCACTCTGAGGCTGTACCCTTGGGCCCTAGTCTCTCCTATTAGTGGAAACATATTCTTCACATCCATTCTATCCAGACCTCTCAGTATTCTGTAAGGCTCAAAGAAATCCCCTCTCATCTTCTCAAACTTTGTTGAGTACAGACCCAGAATCGTCATCAGTTCCAAATATGACATGCCCTTCATCCGCTGGATTATTCTTGTCAACCTCCTCTGAACCCCTTCCAACACCAGCACATCATTCCTTAGATATGAAGTTCAAAACTGCTTACAATATTCCAAATGCAGTCTGACCAATGCCTTATACAGCCTCAGCAGTACATTTCTGCTCTTGCATTCTAGCCCTCTTGAAATAGATGCTAACATTGAATTTACCTTCCTAATCTAGAGAATCCCAAGTCCCTTTGTGATTTGGATTTCTGAAGCCTTTCCCCATGTAGAAAATGGTTTATACTTCTATTCTTCTGACTAAAGTCCATAATCTCACATTTAACCACATTGTATTCCATCTGCCACTTCTTTGTCCTAGCCTGTCCAACTCCTTCTGCAGCCTCCCTGCTTCCTCAATACTACCTTTCCTTCCACTTATTTTTGTATTATTTGCAAACTTAGCAACAATACCCTCAGTTCTATCATCAAGATCGTTTATGTAATTTTGGGAAACTGAATGAAAAATACAAAAGAGGAGTATTGGGATAAGGGAATTGGAACTGCATGGAGATACATTGACATACATGGAGATACATACAAAGTATCAAGAGATACATTGACATAGTATCTGTAGCTTATACTTTCTCCTGGATAACAGAATGAAAGTGATTTGACAACATGCATAAAGCAAGAAAATACTATCATGAAGAATATTTTCAATGTAACAGCCTCAGTTAAACCTAATTCCATGCTATGACCATCGCTTTGCTCCTAGATTCTAATGAGGTGCAGGCATACCTGTTCATCATCACATCTCTGCTTTTCTAACCTTGCCCTGTTTAAGACTGAGTTGAATAAATTCTTGATCAATGGGGAATCAAGGGTTACAGCGAAAGGACAGGGAATGGCCATGATCTTATTGAATGGCAGAACAGGGTTGAGTGTCTGAATGGCCTACTCTGCTACTATTTCTTATGGTCTGTGAGGTAGTCGGGAGGGGAGAGATGGTTAGGACATCACTTTGAAGGCTATTCTGTAGTTATAACTATCATCTTGAAGGGCTGAAGAATGTGTGGTTACTCGTTCTTTGTTGTAACATGGTGAAACTACACTGCTTACCTTAAAAACACATCCAAAACAATTCAGACATAAATCTCTAGATCTTGACTGTATTGAGGATTTAAATAACTTTTGGGTCATTTTTCAGCACACTGCAATTGGCTTTTCATTACCAAATGCTGTTGTTATCACCAATGTTAAACATAACTATAAAATAACCATTGTAAAAGATGTTTGTCAGGCACAGTAGGGAAGATTTATTGTGGTTACTTATTGTGCTAAAATTGTAAATACACCTTTTTCATAATGTACTAAAATTCAGTATTAGTATTACAAACAGAAAATATTGTAATAGACCTATACAGTGCAGCACGGTGGTTCAGTGGTTGGCACTGCTGCCTCACAGTGCCACCCTTGGACGACTGTCTGTGTGGAGTTTGCACATTTCCCCCCTTGTCGACATGGGTTTTCTCTGGATGCTCCAGTTTCCTCCCACAGTCCAAAGATGTGCAGGTAAGGTGGATTGGCCATGCTAAATTGTCCGTAGTGTCTAGGAATGTGCAGGCTAGGTGGATCATCCATAGGAAATGCAGGGTTACAGGGATAGGGTTGGGGGTGGGTCTGGGTGGGCTGCTGTTGGAAAGGTCAGTGTGGACTTGATGGGCTGAATAGCCTGCCTCCACACTGCATGGTTTCTATAATTCCAAGCATGACTTAAGTAATGCCAAATAGGAATTATTGAGCTTCCATGGATTCTCACAGTTCTTCAACAGAGAATGATACCCTTTCTCCACCAATGGCTCAATGTTGAAATAAGGAAGAGTTAAGTTGTGCCCTTGTGATGTTCCAGGCAATCTCTCAGGATGCATGAGGATGGTCAAGGCAGCATTGTTAAATGACAGCAACTCCTGAATGGGTAGAAATATAGGAACATGGAAGCAGAAGTAGGCCATTCTGCTCTTCAAGTCTGTTCCACCATTCAATGAGATCATGTCTGATCTGTGGCCTAACTCCATATACCTACAATTGACCTGTAACCCGTAATAGTTTTGCTTCTCAAAAAGTTATCTATCTCTGATTTAAAATTAACAAATGATCCAGCATCAACTACCATCTGTGGAAGAGAATTCCAAACTTGTACGTTTCAGGCACTTTGCAAAAAGTACTGTGGACAGTATAAGCACTGGGTTGCTTAGGTACGAAAAACATCAGTACCTAACTGTATTTGAGTGGAATGGTATCTTTCCTTTCAGTAGACATGCTTTTATGAACCCTGCGACACTGGCACTCTATCTAAGCATGATACTGTATTATGGGCCTTTGATGTACATTGATGCTGGGAGCCTAAGGAGTGCAATTCATACCTAAGTGACAAGCTCACCTTTTTATCTAATGCTTACATCAGGGCACTATGATGAACCTCAGAATATGCAGCCCAATTTTATGTGGTTGTCACCACAACATATTCTGCTTTCAATTTTTGTGGACAGAATCAGCCTTGAGCTTATCACCAATAAATACTAGCTCATTCTTCCTGCAAGCATTACCATGTTCCTATTATACACTTCATTCTTCATTCTTCTTTACATGGGTTTTAAAACAAAATATTTTGGACAATAAATAATAACTTGTAGGCATTATGATAAGCCATCTCATAAACACAATTTTAGGCTGTCATAGTTGCTTACTTTGCTTTCCACTGTACTGCACAATGAAACTCCTCATAAACATCATTATTTACGTATAGAATATGACCTACTTATAAATCAGGTCAGGCACCATTCTAGGCTGTAGCATTTACCATGTTAGTGCCTAGCTCCGGCATCAATTGCTGTGATTTTGATAAGGACTGTTAACATTTAAAGAGAAATCAAAACATTTAATTTTGACCAATAGAACTGTGCCACAGAGGGCTCCTTTTAAAATGGAGAAGGAACTTTTACTGTGTATAAAATACTTTCTTTAAAAAAACACTTACCTTAAGAGTACAGTTTAAACCTGCATATGTAGTTCACTGATTTTTACATCTTACTTTCCAGAAGAATCTCTCATACATTGTGAAAGCTTTGCATTATTTACTTCTGTCAGAATGTAAAAGTATGCCATAACATTCTGGAATTTTCTTTAATTTTCCTCAGATTTACCTATTCTTCAAAGTAAGATACTTTGTTTAATACCGCTTGGCTGTGGATGCCTGAGTCTCCTTTTCTGTTTCTCTTCTCAATAATTCCCAACTAATTCTTTCTGTTTGCTTTCTTTGACACAAGTTTTTTTGAGGACTACTGTAAATTTTCTCCACGAACTGTGCTGGAATTAACTCTTCCAACTTATTTTCCCTCTCAATGTCCAAACGAATATTGACCACCTGTATTCCTTATTGGACAATGAAATGAGTAGTTTCTTGGCTTGATGACCTGACTAACAACCATCAACTTTGGCTATCTTCTCTGTAAGCCATAGCCTGTGAAAGCTAAAAATGCAACTTGCCTGCCTTTGGAGCAAGCACACAGAGACATTAAACAAAGGAATTTCTCATTTTGTACAGCTTAGCTCTATGACAATGTAAATTTTTTGGGGGGGTGGGGGTGTCCTCAAATGCAATTTTAGTTTAACAGTAAAATATTGTGGGATCGCTGGGGATCTGAAACATAAAGTATCCCTAACTCAAAAATACTCAGATACTAAACTCTCTTTTAATTCTGAGATCTCGATAAATAATTTATATTAGATGTGATTGCCCTTTCTTCAGACACTCTAACCCACAAAGCATTCCTTTTGTTTGTAAAGCTTCTTACAACTGAAGATTTGATACATAACATAAATTGTTTATTCAAGGGGAGACCCTTCATGTATCTGTAAGATTTGAGAGCAAGTCTTCCATTATTTAAATGCCTACATCCATCTCTGACCTTGCAAAATAAATATAGATTAACTTTGAGGTGTAAATAACCTTAAGTTCGTTTGAATTACATCTACTTCAGGATTTCTAAGCTTTTATTTAAATCCAGATAAGCTCCTTTATTTACATTTAACCTCAAACCTAAATGGCATGTTCCTAAAACAAAGTTATGTTCTAAATATATAAACTATGAGCTAAATATGATTGACACAATGAAATAATGTTATCACAAAGCTTGTACTTGATTCTTTACAATAGCACATGAAAGTAATCGACCCGTATAATTAATTTATCCATGATTAATAACCTTTTGTTATTTACTTATTTTAATAGACTGATACTTCATCTAAATAACATACACAAAATTTTTACAGAAATATGCTATTCTGTGCAATGAAATGAAGTTAAATTCCATTGTTTTTCATCCTTCCAATGTGTTATATTTGTTAATAAAATTTCTCTGAAATATAAATATCATACTTTCAACCCTCAGACATAACATAGGAGTACAACTCACTGATTCCAGTGTGCTTTTATATATTATAATTTTACCTGTAGTATGTAAATAGCTAACTACAAGTACAATTTATTATTGTTATTGAAAACCTCACTCAAAATAATGGATCTGAAACTTAGTATGACTATTAGTCATGTATGGTATTGGACAAACATATTCTGAACTGCAAGCTGCCATTATTGAACTATTTTTATTATACCTTTCCAACAAAGATAAAAGCATGGAAGGCTGTATCACAAAATGCTTTTTCATTATTATATACTCACTGTTAATAGCCAATTTTGATTTATCACTGTTGATCACACAGGTTAAATCTGATTAATGGATAATGATTCTATTCCTTCTCTTGACAGAGGTTGAACTTCAGCCAAGTCCATCAATAACATATAGAACAATTGGTGGAGTTCTGGATTTCTACATTTTTGTGGGTTCTTCACCTGAGGATGTTGTTCGTGAATACTTAACAGTACGTATACAATTACTATCAGTAACTAGCAATAGACCTAGACAATATTTCAAAATCATGATTTTCAACCAATTTCATATACTATTTTGTGTTATTAAAGAGAAACTACTTCTGAGTTAAGTGTTTTTACAAGTTTTTAATTGAAATCTGTACAATAATGAACATAATATATTTATTTCTGTTTTTAATTGAAATAATGTAGCTGGTTGGCAAACCGAAAATGCCTGCATACTGGTCTCTGGGATTCCAACTTAGTCGCTGGGGTTATAAAAACCTCAGCGATGTTGAAGCTACAGTAGCGAGGAACAGAAAGATTAATCTGCCATATGTGAGTACGGTGCATTGTTACAAAAAAAATCACATCAGTAACATAAAGAAAATAGTTTGATACGTTTGTTTACTAAAAACGTTATGACAGAGAAAGCATAAAACTGTAGAAGGTAACATCACAAAAGGAGAATACTTGGCCCATTGTGTCCCTGCCAGCTTTGTGCAAAAGTGTTTCAGCTAATCCCATTCCCTGGCTTTTTACTCCTCAGATAATTATCCTCTTATCTTTCAAAATTGTCAATCTAATCTGCCTCCACTGGGCACTCAAGCAATGAATTTCAGATCCTAACCACTCATGACTTGCTGCGTAATACAATTTTTCCTCATGTCACAGTTGCTTCGTTTTCCAACCATGTTAAATCAGTGACCCCTAGTTTAGACCCTTCCATCAACAGGAGCAGTTTCTCTTCATTTTGTCAAGATCCCTCATGATTCTGAACACTTCCACCAAATATCTTTAACTTTACTTTGTCAGGACTGCAGTCTCAGCCTTGTTAGGGCCAGACTGGCAAAGTCACTGGACTAGCAATCTAGAGATCTAAATGAATGTTCTGTAGGCTGGTTCAACCATTGATATCCAGCTGGTTCACTAATGTCATTTAGGGAAGGAAATCTGCATTCCTTATCTGGTCTGGTTTGCTTCAGCCTCACAGCAATATTGTTGGCTTTTCACTGCTCTCTGAAATGATTTAGCAAGTGACTCAGTTCAAGGGCAATTAGAGATAGGCAGTAAATGCCAGCTCAGCCAGCTACACCACATTCCATTACCAATTTTTTCTTAAAAACTATTCTCACATTAAAAGTTTGCATCCCTGAGCCATTCTTGTAAACCTTTCTGTATTCTTTCTAATGTTTTCACAATCCTCTTAAAAGTGTGGCCTAAGCACAAGATTGATATTTCAAGCTGGACCAGTGTTTTGTGTGGTTTTATTTATAATACCTTTGCTTTTATGTCCAATGTTCCTATGTAAAAAGTTTAGAAACATGTATACATTATTAAGCACTTTTGCAACTTTCCCTACCACCTTTTGAATATGTGTGCTCATAAGTCTCTTACTGCTTCTGCACCTCCTTTGGAATTGTACTTTGCTTTAAATTGCCTTTCATTATTTCTGCCAACATGAACCACTTCTAACATCCATGTATTAAATGTCATTTGCTATTTTCCTTACATTTCAACAACCTCTCTATATACTCTGGAAGCAGATGACTACTTCCTCATTATTCATAATACTTTCACACTTTGTGACATCCACATGTGCCCTATACATTCAAGTCTAGTTCACTTATATATCAAGGAAGACAACGGTTCCAACACTGACCCCTGCGATGTACAACTATACATCTTCTATTCTGAAAAACAATCAATCATTCACTATTACTGTCTGGACTAAAACTTTCAACTGACATCAGAACTGATCCAACAGACCCAAATTACATGAAAACTGCATACTTACCTGCCCATGTTTTGTAGGGCCAGTCTTCCAACGCTGGCCACTCCCTCAAACCTCCTTCATAGAACACAGAGAAGGTCTTGACACAGCATGGAGAAAGTAAAAACACCATTCCCAATGACACCAGAAGAGTTGGGAATGCCCCTTAATGGCAGCAGCTGACATCATAGGGATTTAAAATGCAAGGCAAGTTGAATTAAACCTATACAGTAAATGTCATTTATTGCATAGTTTTTTGAAAGTTTTCTCTAAATATTTAAGGCTATTGATATTGTCTAATGCATGCATCCTTTTTAGTTGATTAAATATTTAATGTTGCTATTATTTAACAATTCTAAGCTTTTTTTCTTATTATTTAACATTGAATGTTATTTGACTATTTTTGGTGAATGAGTATGCGTAAATGAGGTAAGTAAGGAAGGTTTGGACGTGAGTTAGTGGGTAACAGCATTTGGATAGGGTGGAATCTTTTACGCAAGCATCTGGATAAGATAGTGGTAGATAAATGAGAGGTCGGTGGTTTGGTAGGGTGGTAGGAGGGTGGCAGGTTGATAGAGTGGCAGATTACCATTACGAACCATTTGTTACATCATTAAAACAAAATTTTAAAATATTTTAACATGGTTTGCCCCTTTAACAAATCCAATCTTTAAATCAATCCACATTTGTTCAAGTGACAGTTAATTTTGTCCCATATTATTATTCCTAAAAGTTACCCCACCTCTGAATTTAAATAGATCTTCCTGTAGCTGCCAGGCTTAACCTAACATAGTTTATTGAAAAAAGGTGTAACATGTGCAATTCTCCAGTCCTTTGGTACTACCCCTGTGTCTAAGGAAGATTGTTTTTAGTGTTTCTGCAATTTCCACCCCTACTTCTCTCTAGATTCTTGGATGCAGATGATCTGGGTCTGATGTCTATCCAATACCTCTAATAAGTCCCACCTACCAGAGTTTAGTCCATCCAGTATCTCAACTACCTCTCTTTTCACCATGATCTGGGCACTACCATATTCCTTGGTAAAGACAGATACAAGGTATTTATTTATTACCTTACCATGATCCTTTTCTCCATGCACATTCTCATTTCAGTCTCCAATTGGCACCTCTCGCTGTCTCATTATTCTTTGACTATTTCCATCCCAATATAATAATTTATATTCCATTTTCCAGGTTCTTGTCATACTCTTTTTTGCTTTTCTTATTTGTTTATTTTAAATTTACTTCTCCTCCAATTGTTATAGTCAGTCATCAGCTTGTTCTCACTTATGTTATCCTTCTGATAACTGTTATTTGTCCTATTTTTCTGCTTTGTCTTACTCATTTCTCTTTCAGTCAGATAGGTTTGGACTCATTTGCCCTATTTTCTCTCACATAGAACGTACCTGAACTGTTCCCAAATTACTTCAACATTAAATTTAGTTCAGTAACCCATTACATTTTTGCATATCAAGCCTTGTTTCCAATTTACCTGAACCAGTATTTTTACACCCCATTGAAATTTGGCCCACCTACCATTTTTAAAATATAATTGCTCCTTGTCCTTTTCCCTAACCAGTTTATAACATATGAAGCTATGATCATTGTCTCGTAAATTTCCCCTAATACTATATGATCCATTTGAGTCACCTCACGCTCAAAAATCTGATCCAACAGTGAATTCATAGAAACTTGGAAAATAAGAGCAGAGGTAGGCCCTTCGACTCTACCCAGACGTCTAATATGATTACAGCTGATTATCTAACTCAGTATCTCTTCCCACTTTCACCCCATACCTTTTGATCCTTTAGCTGTAAGAACTGTATATAACTCCTCTTGAAAACATATGCTGTTTTGGTCTCAGTTGCTTTCAGTGGCAGAGAATTCCACAGGCTCGCTACTCTCTGGGTGAAGAAATTTCTCCTCATCTCAATCTCAAATGGCCTACCCCATATCCTTAGAATGTGACTCCTGGTTCTGGACTGCCCAGTCATCAGCCATGTCTTTTCTGCCTTACCCTGTGTGTCCCTGTTAGAATTTTATAGGTTTCTATGAAATTGCTCCTCGATCTTCTAAACTCTAGTGAATATAGCCCTAAGCAATCCAGTTTCTCTTCATACGTTAGTCCTATCACCTCAGGAATCACTCTGGTAGACCTTTGTTAACTGCCTCCACAGCTAGAACATCCTTCCTCAGATAAGAACACCAAAGTGGCACAAAATACTCCTGGCGTGGTCTCACCAAGACACTGTACAATTACAACATTACTAAACTGTCAGCCTAAGCGTCTAGATTACAAGTCCAGTAATATTACCACTACTCTTCCTTAAGCAATCTTTGGAGTCTGTTCATGTCTTTCTAAGCTCCCTAGCCTCAGACTCAGAGAGCTTATCCTTCTTTCCACCGATGTCATTTGTACCTTAGTGGGCTATGGCCACTGGCTGTTCAACCTCTCCCTTCAGAGTGCTCCATGTGCTTACAGTGGAGACATCAATCCATCCTGGATTTATGTCAGCAGCCACAGCTGTTAAGCTCCCTTTACTGATTTCCTCACCTTCCTTCTGGTTTTCTGTGTAGCCAAATGTACATGATGCCATGGAATAGGCTATGGCCACACTCCTGCACTTCAGAACACAATACACATTGGAGAAAAGAGATGCCTGCAACTGCCGCACTGCTTCCTTGATTATCCAGCGGCCATTAATTCCCTCTCTACTTCACAGTCTCAAGCTATGGGCTGAACACATCTATCTACAAAACTCTCAGCCTTGACTTTTACATTAGTCATCAGTCATACCAGGAGCTGCTGCTGCTGACAAAACCTCTGGCACATGTGGAAATCTTCCACACTACATGAGAAGGGTCCTTCATTTCCTACAAGGAACAGAATGTGCACTCCGCAGCATCAAGCTTCCCTGCCATGTTCCTGTTTATTAGATTACCAAAGACAGTACTTAAATTAAGACTCATCAGTTCATTACCAATTAGCTGATTATCCTCGGCTGATATCACTATTTTTTTTACTTTGGTTAACAGAAATAATATCACTAAGCCATTTTAATAATAATCTTTGATTTTAAACTGTTAATGAAATCAGGGAACTTTAATGCTGCTTTTACTTAATTCTAACTACATGTCCCTAGATCTGATTAACTCATTAAACGTTGACTTTAATTATTTGACAAATTATCAAATTGGCTTTGTTTTTAGTTTTTATTTTAATTAACTGATCAATTGATTGAACAAATCAATTAAAAGCTCACCAGAAAATTCACTCCATATGCTATCACATAATTTTGAGAATTATTTTCTCCCCTCCTTTTCAGTTCAGACTCACAGCTCATATCCCACTTCGTTTGCTGGCCTGTCTGTTCCTCCAATCTCCATTTGGAAATGATGCAAACTGGCCCAATTCCCCTAGCATATCTGAATATTGAACTCCAATATGATCAGTATATTTATTCCCAAACTTCATTGTTTTCTCCTGGCCAACCCTGGCCTGCTTGTTATTCTGTTCCACTCTCAGCCTGCCTTGCTCCAACTCCCAGTAAGCCTCACACCATTCT